TCAGAGATTTAAAGATGGTTCAGGATCTGCAATGGAATATGATCCTGTAAAATCTTCGAATAACCTTTCACAGGTTCTTTGGCATCCATCTGATCTCTCAGTCAGACCTGTGATGCCCAGCAGAAAATCTGATAAAAATTCGGATGTTCTTCCTTCACTTCCTTTTGACACTCTGCAAGCCTCTGATTTTGTGAAAATCTCTAAAGACCATTTGGATGCACTCAACAATAAGATTATAGCCATTTTTAATGGGAACAGTAGCATTGGGGAGAAGCAGAATGTAATTAGATACCTTGAGATGTTAAGCAATAATGCTGAGGCCGCCAATATCTTGACCAATGGACCTATCATGCTTATGCTTGTTAAAATGCTTCGGCTGTCCAAGGCTTTGGCGTTGCGTGTCCAACTTGCTTCTCTGGTTGGTTTGCTGATTCGCCATTCTACTTTTATTCAAGATGATTTGGCAAATTCTGGAATTTTGGGTTCACTTGCCGATGGCCTTAGAGACAAGCAGGAAAAAGTGAGGAGGTTTTCTATGGCTGCTTTAGGTGAGTTGCTATTCTATATATCTACTCAAAGTGAGCAAGCTGGAGACAACAATCCAGCAGAGTCTCCATCAAAGGAAATCCGGTCCACATCCGGGTGGCAGGTTAGCTTCCTACATTATTGCAATAAATTTGTTGGTTATGCACCTTATGATAAAAAGAATGACTGTTATACTATTTACAGCATGTAATTCTACTCTTCACAAGAGTAAAAGATGGAGTTCCATATTGTATGTGTGTATGCTTTAGTAAAAAAACACTCTTCTTGTTGCTCTTTGCTGCCCTTTTGTTTATATTTTCTTGATTGATAACTTATTTTACCTCGGGCAGGTTTCAAATTCATTGCTTTCATTGGTGTCATCAATTTTGCGCAAAGGGGAGGATGATTTAACTCAACTATATGCATTGAGGACAATTGAAAATATTTGCAGTCAAGCAGGGCACTGGGCAGCTCGTTTGACTAGCCAGGACATGATTAATAACCTGTGCTATTTATATAGGGCTGCTGGGAAGCAGGAGAGCATGAGGCTCACAGCAGGATCGTGTTTAGTCCGTCTTGTTCGTTTCAATCCACCTAGCATTCAATCAGTAATAGAGAAGCTCTCTTTAAAAGAAATAGCATCAGCTCTTGTGAAGGGCAGTCTACGTGAGCAGCAAATCAGCTTAAACCTTTTAAACATGGCCATGCTTGGAAGTCATATGTTCACTAATATTGGCAGGCAGCTCCTGCCATTGATGGAGGATAAGAATCTTGTCCCAGGTCTTGTGTCTCTTATCGATCAGGGAAGTGAGGTTTTGAAGGGAAAGGCACTTGTTTTCGTTGCTCTTCTTTGTAAGAATGGTAGGAGGTGGCTGCCACATTTGTTTTGCAATGCCAAGTTACTTTCTGCCGTGGACAGGTTGGCAAAAGAGAAGGACCACTATGTGCAGCAGTGTTTAGATGCATCCGTGTGTGTTGTGGCATCTACTATACCCAGTTTACTGGATACTATAACCGGAGAAATACAGCAAATGATGGGAGGAAGGCGCCATGGGCATCTATCTCCCCTGAACAGTAGAGTTACTCCAAAGACCAATGTTCATATGTTTCCTGTAGTTCTCCATCTTCTTCGGAGCTCGTCTTTTAGGCGCAAGGTGGTGAGTGATCAGGTCCTGCAGCAGTTGGCAAATCTAATTAAACTGGTGGAGACAACATTTCAGGTAGGTGGCTGCAGCCCAACCATTCTTTGTTGTTTAGTCATTGCTAGTCTTTTTGTTATCTGGCTAATCCAAGGTAGACGTTTAATTTGGATATGAAAAATTAGTAATGCCAAAATGGCTTAGATCAGCCAACTGTTAATGATTGGAACTTGGGATGATATGTAACTTGCCTGGCTCAGGTACTGTGTCTTGGAAAGTAATCCCAGGTTGTAATAGGTTGTTAAAATGCACGAACAAGTGACAACCAGATATTTTTACACTAATCACTAGTAAACCATGCCATTATTTTTAAGTGGGCACCTTTTAGTTGTGTGGTCTTGGCCTGAATCCTACGGACAAGGGGGTGGGGATGATTTGAAGGGCTACAGAATAAACGTCTATTAGCTTGGACTTTTGGTAAATGATGTCATAGATACTGCTAAATGATTTACTGTTGATTTTCAGGGCAGGGATGACTTTCAGATTACCCTTCTTCGAGTTCTTGAGTCTGTGTCAGAGGAGTCACTTGTAATTCTTGAAAGCCCTGATATTTTTATCCGTGAAATCCTCCCCAGTTTGGCTGTGCTTTATAAGGGCAACAAGGATGGTGATGCCAGGTTTCTGTGCTTGAAAATTTTGTTTGAGGTGATGGTTATTTTCCTGAATGAACAATCTGAGGATGAGCAGAGGTCCAAAGAATTGGAATCCATATCCAATAAAAATTTTCTTCCTCTCTACCCTTCTTTGATTGAAGATGAAGATCCAATCCCCTTGTACGCACAAAAGCTTCTTGTGATGCTGATTGAGTTTAATTACATCAAAATTGCAGACATTCTAGATCTTAAGATAGTCTCACAATGCTTTGAGTTTTTGCTTGGTGATCTCTCAAGTGCAAATGTCAACAATGTAATGCTATGTCTGGCTCTGACTTCGGCACCTGAAATGGAAACCAAGTTACTTTCTCAGCTAAAGGTAGTTAGGAAAATAGGAAACCTTCTAGAGTTCGTATACGCAAAAGATATGGAAGATTTTCTGGAGCCAACCCTTGGCCTATGTAGGGCTTTCCTTTTACGGTCAGTGAGTAGTAGAAAAGGCTTCATCTATTCAAAAGAACCTGCTCTTATAGGTGATGTATCCTCCGAGGCAAGTGGTGCTGATCAACAAGGCATTAGAGATATCACGGACTTTGGCAGCAATGTTGGTGTCTTGCTAGAGTTGACTAGATCCCATGGAGGAAATGTGGCAGATATAGCTTCTGAATGTGTGGTCTTGTTGCTCAAGGCAGCTCCAAGGGAAGCCTCTGCCGGTCTTCTAACTAATCTGCCAAAAGTTACTGCAGTCCTTGAGTCTTGGCGTAGGGGCACATCTCACTTACTGGTGCAGCGGGTGCTCCATGCACTTGGTTATTCTTGCCGGCAATATTTGCTACATGCAATGATATTGTCGATATCTATACCCGAGATTTCGAGAATTGAGGGCATAGTTTCTGAGCTTAAAGGTTCAGGTGTACCTGTTTTAGCCACTGCTGCTTTCCATGTGGCAGTGGAGTTGCAACGGCTGCCTCGCTGCTTGTGAAACGCTAGAGGTAATATGGTGGTTTCTTTTCCCTATTGTTTTGTTTCATAATATTTATGATCTCTCAAACTTAGTGATTTCTTTTTTCCGTGTGCAGTATGCAAATCAATTGGCTTTCACAATGGCATAAAGACATGCCTCTTGAGTTCCTGAGAAGGGTTCAACAACTTATGAAGGTGAGTTTAATTTTTCTGCATAAAATTTTAGTGTCAATCCAGCTCTGGTTGACATGTCATTGTATAATCCGTGTACACTTTGTATGTCCATTGCAATTCTAAATATAGTTTCTTTTAATACATATTTTTCTTGGAATTTAGAGTTGCTGCAATTTGATCAAACTCCTGTGTTCGACTAATATCAAAATGCTGATTAGTTGTGGTATGAGATTGGTTAGTTGATGTCCATGATAGGATTTGAAGATGTTAATCTACAAATTTATGGGGTCACAAAATTCTTGTACATAAAGGAAATATAAACCATGAATTTTTTTTTTCAAATTCTAGAAAACCATGGATTTGGCTGGGATGGAGAGACCAAACTCTGATTCCATCTACCCAAAAACAAACAAAAAAGACTTTCTTTGGCAAATAAGAAAAAAAAAGCTTTGGATCCACTGCTCATGCATGCTGGAATAGTGTGACAATCCCATCCTGTGAAATTCCTTGGGTTAGGACATCATTTGTCGGTAATTTTTTTTTTATTTAAATTTAATCTAATTTTTTACTTGATGGACCCGTGATTTTGGGGGGAGGGGTTGGGGGTGGGTATAGGTTGTCCTTGACCTCTCAGACTTTTTCAATCTACGGTTGGAAAAATGTGTAATGCGAGAATCTATCATGATTGCAAATCTTTGCATCAAGAGTCAATAATTTCCAATGTCGCAACATTTCTACTCATTTTTTACATTCAATAATTCTGATAATTGAATTTTTAAAACTAAACTTGTTTATTGACGCCAATGGGAAGGGAATCTATGGACATCGAAACGTTTCTGTTGTCAGGCCCTGCAAATGGCTTTTGAACTATGGAAGTTTGTGGATTGACTAGAGAATGGTAGAAAATAAATTTAATTTGTTACATGCATTATTGTATCTGAATTTCTGATTTTTTATTTTTTATTTTTTTTTATATATAAATGGTAATGGAATCAATTTACAAATCATAACATCAATCAACGCTTCCCATGAAATTTCTCCAAACTTTTCCTAGTACTTCTCTTGGATGCTTGTATGTTTTTGAGTAATTTGCAATATTGATTGATGTCCGCACCATATGAAATTCAAATTTTCGTCGATCGAATGCTATTAGGGAATTCGAACACATGATCTTATACAAGAATAATTGTTATTAATCACTTGAATAATAAACCTCTGAATTGACAAATTTGATGACGGTGATTATCAATGATTATAGCATTGAAACTAGTCAAGTAGATTAGTAGGACTTCTCCCGGATTATCAGAAATCAGGGAACAGCAAGATCACGGACCAAAAGGAAAAATAAAAACAAAACCATCTGATTCCAATTACAAAAGATGCTAACCCATCTTTGATCTTTGTGTCTTCCCTAAATATGCCAACCTGTATTTTTTCATATCCATCCAAATTTCACTACCCACGTGGCATATGGACCCCACCCTAGTCTAGTCATCCTTTTAAAATACCCCAAATCATAACGTCCACCAAAAGACCACACACAAAATCCCATTCACTCTGCTCTTTTAGTAAAAACTTTGATTGCACAAAATATATAAGCCCTTCACTCTCCCAACTTTGATATCTTCATCATTAGAAATGGCCTCTTTTTGGTCCCATATAGTGTTTCTCATTATGGCTTTCATGGCCTCACCTCTGCTTTCCTTTCATTCAAAAGCCTCCTCTGCCTCATCTAGCGTCTCAGCTTCACCAGCATTCTTGGTTACCAATCTTCCTCCATCTTTACAAGGATTGCCTCCAGAAATAGCTCCACTTTTGCCATCTCCTGGTCCTGTGGTTCCTGCTACTCCAACTGATTCATCTATCCCCACCATTCCCTCCAACCCTAGCCCTCCGAATCCGGACGACTTGGTTTCTCCTGGCCCCTATTCTTCACTCTCACCATTTGGGTCATTGCCAGCTTCCTCAGCAGCATCTATAAGCTTAATTTGGCCTTTAAAGCTGGCTGCTTTTGCAGGTTTAGCCGCATATGTAGTCTATGCAGCTTCTTAGGGTGTATGTCTTTTCTGGGCTACGAGATTCAATTGTCATTGTTTGTAGTTAGTACCTCAAAATGGGATGGAGTGAAACCATCTAATATATATATGTATAGTCCTACTTCCATCATAGGTTAGAGAGTTTGTAATTGATTATGTAAGTGGTTAAAGAAAATTTATCATAGTATCCGAGGTTTTATGTTCGATTTTCTCTTCTGTATCACGAACGTCAAAGGACTTGTAAGAACATTAATCCCCGTGCCATCCCACAAGGGAAAAGTACAACACCAAAAAATAATTCAGGATGTTGCACATGGTTTTCAATTGGATGAATAATTGAAGCTACTTCTATTTCAAGTGCATGTGAGACTCCAAAGTATACGATAAGTAGCCAGTCACATGTTGTACAATCAGGCTAAAATAAAATTGGTGGTTTAGGTAATCTAATTTGTCTGTTTTCGGGTGTCCTGATCTTTAAAAGCAGTTTCCTATAGGATTTTTTTTTTTTTTTATAAAAAAAATCTAATAGTGATGGCTCGATTTTAATAAGAATTTCTAGTAAGTTTGTTTGTCAGACGCTACCCAAGTGGGTGGAGAAACACTGTTTTTTTGTTCAATGGTGTGTGAAATGCTATTCCGATCAATTATGGCACGTTATGCGTGATAACTTTTTTACGTAGCAATTTGTGATTGATTGAGAATAATAAAACAATATTATCCCGTATCCCACAAATTTTTCTGAAGTGGGTGGGGCAGAAAGTGAAGCAAAGAACATGTTCAACTTGGGAGTTGGGTCAAGGGCCTGATTCATACATGATTAAGTTTTCCCTTTCTTCCTTTTCATTTAAAATCCATAATTAAGTCTTTCTTAGGCAAAATTTAGCAGAAAATCAATAATTCGACCATCTCATTTGCATAATTGAAGATAGCTTTTCATAACTAAATCTAATTTAGTCCCTGTGGCATCGTTTGTATTTTTGTCCTAATCAATTCAAGTTCATTAAAATCCCCAAAAAGGGAAAGAAACAAACAACTAATACAAGTACACAAGAACATAGAAGATTAGACTAAAACCCAACACATTGTACTGGTACATAATAAAACAATCTTCACCGTTACAAAATCAAAACAAAAACAATACAAAAAGACGGAGACCGCACCATCAAGGGCACAAAAGAGTGAATGCACACCCACCACATGAGACAACACTGCTGCACATAGAGACCAACCAATCATCCGCCAAGAAGAGAAGCTCCCCAATAACCAGAAACACCTCAGCACAAAAGTCACAATCTCCGAGACACCAGAACAATCCTCCAAAAGTCACAATCTCCGAGGCATCGTTTGAAATGTTAATTTACAAAACGTATAGACTATAGGACGTTGGGCAAAAAATTACAAGTCTCGAAGTTTAATTCTATAGACAAAATTACTTTTATTCAAACATTCCAACTTTGGGTAGATCACAATTTAATTCAACACAAATAGATTTTTGGTTTTTGTATATAGAAAACACCGAGAGTTAAAAATTTCCGAAGTACTTTTACGGAGAAAGTGGGCAAAAAATGATAACTAAGGGCCAGTTTGGCATTGCTGTGCTGTGAAAATAATCGCTGTTAGATTTGCTGTGAGAGAAATCAGCTGTGAGATAAAGCAGTTTGGCGTTTGGTAAATTTTTTGTTAAGAGTGTTATTGGTACTAATTCCCGTGTAATCAGAAAATGATTCCCGCATAATCATTAAACTTAGCGTCTCTTCGAAACTGATTCCAGCATAATCAGAAAATGAAAGCACCTCATCAGCTGATTTCCCTTATAACTTTCTCTCACAGCAATTTTTAACAATAAGTGATTTTTTCATAGTTTACCAAACGTGCTGGGCTTCCTAAATTTTTACCCGCATAATCATTAAACTTAGCGTCTCTTCGAAACTGATTCCAGCATAATCAGAAAATGAAAGCACCTCATCAGCTGCTTTCCCTTATAACTTTCTCTCACAGCAATTTTTAACAATAAGTGATTTTTTCATAGTTTACCAAACGTGCTGGGCTTCCTAAATTTTTTAAAAAATCACTTATTACCCTAGATAAGCAATGCCAAACTGGCACTAACAACTACATTTGAGGTCTTAGGTTGGACTTCCCCCTCCCCAATCATCGCTTGTATTAAAAATAAAGTAACTAAATAAACTTCTATTCAAGAGGCAATATCATTAGAAGTTCAAATAGAATGAACTTTTGTATTTAAAGACTAATCCAAATAGCATAAATGAAGGTAGAGTGAGTAAATTTTCAGAACTCAACAACCATTTTTCCAGTATTTTTTCGCTCTTCATCAGATAAAAAAGCCAAATTCAGAACAATAGAAACACCACTTGAGATCATCACATTTAAGAACACTAAAATATCCATAAGATAATTAAAGTACCAAAACCATAATATAAAGCTCGTACAAAACAAAAACAAAAACAAAGAAAAACTAAAGGAAGAAAAAGGTCCATAGGTTTTTCTGATTCTCTCTAAACTATTAAGTACTCTTCTTCTCAACGAGCTTCTCAATCAGATCTGCTGCATCTTGAACAGTGGCGATGGTCTGGGCACTTTCTTCCTCCACACTGATGCCAAACTCCTCCTCAAGTCCCATCACAATCTCAACCTGTATAAAAACAATGTGGGAAACGAATGATCAGTCACATTCTTGTGACATGCATGTCGTTTTCTCCTCGTGGAAGATGTACTGAAGAAAATAGCAATATATATTCAAATTTAAAAGAAAATCGGACACCGTGGCCTGTTGTATCCACTCTGTAAAAACGCTGTCATTTTGAAATTCAACTTGCATTGTAGAAAAGAAAAAACTACAGAAAGCTACAATATTAATCGGCTTGGTAGAAAATGAAAGCAACAAAAGATAGTTGGGAATTACTGTGTCAAGAGAATCAGCGCCAAGTTCAGCAAACTTTGAGCCTGGGGTCACAGCTGTGTCTTCGGGTAAAGCCAACTGCTTCTTCACTATGTCACACACCTTGTTCAGAGTCTCTGGTTTGGCCTACAAAGAAGTAATAATACCACATTACTAGTTATTAATATTACAGAATAGGACTGATTTTTCAAGAATGTGAGCCATTTTCATGATCAAAGTTAGATAAATTCATGATCATAGACCACTGAACTTACCAAAACTATGTTAAAGAAAAAAATTTACATAAACAACACAAAGCTAAGCAACCTATCACATGGTTTTGATATACAAAGGAGAATTTGCTACATAGATAAAAGGAAACTACAGAAGAATGTAGACATCATAGCGAGCCAAAAGCACATTGAAGGTACAAACCCTGGCTTTCTGAGATGCCATTATTTGTTATCAGGTCCTCTCTTACCCAAAAAAATGAGACAATCTGAGGACTGCATTAGAGGAAACAGCACCCCATGTCTTGAGAGGACCTCAAAAGATAATTTGTTTCATAGATAAAAGGAAAGTACGTAAGAGTGTAGGCATCATAGCGAGCCAAGAGCACATTAAAGGTACAAAGAACTGGCTTTCTGAGATGACATTATTTGCTATCAGGTCCTCTCTTATCCCAAAAAAGGAGACATTCTGAGGTCTGCATTAGAGGAAACAGCACTCCATGTCTTAAGAGGACCTCAAAGGATAATTTGTTTTACTACAGTTAAACCTCTCTAAGAAGTGTAATGTGTTAAGGGAACAAAATTAATTTTCCAAACAAGTCCAACCATTAATCATATTTAAGCAATTAGAAATAAAATTTATAGAATAAATTACAAACTAATGCCACATCAACAAAAGTGGAGATACGCAGAAATTTATCCATGAGACCGCTGGGGAAAATGAAACAACAAAAAAAACAAAAGCAACAATAGCATTACAATCAATTGAGCTTACCGAACAAGAAACTTGAAAACGCCCAGGTCGGGAACTGAGAGATGGGAAGCGCTTTCCAGTGATGGAAAAGGAAACTGACTTCAGACCAGAGCTCCTGCTGCTGGCTGCCTGCTTCAACATTCAACCATAGAGCAAAAATGTAAGGAAGCTAAATTTTCTAAGTCAATATTTTTCTGTTATCTAAAAATTGACATCATGAAAGAGATAACCTCAATATATGCCTTCTAAACATTCAATCTCCTACCTAGCAAATACCTTACAACTTCTACAGCTTCCTTTAACTTGATAAAGTGTTATTGAGCAGTTACAAGAGAGGAAGTAGTATGAAATTTAGAGCAAATTAGTCTACACCACAAAATCAATCACAGACCAAGTTGACTCGAAACACTAAATGGGACCCACCGTGTAATGGGTCTTGATGACAACTCTGGTTAATGTAATGTCTAACTTTAACCTAATAACATGCAGACATGGTGCAGCTCCCCAAACTTCAAAATAGTATATCAAAAAGTCAATTTGAGCAAACTCAAGCTTACTCTCTCCTCTCATTAAAAACTCAAACTTAATGATTAGCAAAAGAAGCTCAGACTTAACCTAATAAAATCCAAATCACCCATTTCAATCAATAAGAAACGGAAGCAAGCTGCAAGATTTACAGTAGACCACAAAGAATCACTACCAAGCTCAACAATTTACCCAGATTCATTAATTCAACAAACCGAAGATCCAAATCTAATAGCAAAACCTCAAATCGTGAAAACAAAACAAACAGACATGATGATGAAAATCATAAATCTTGAAAATTAGATTGTAATTAACAACAGATAAATGACCACAGAAGACGGGGGAAGTAATACCAAGGTGGGCTTGAAGGAGGTTGAAAGAGCAGTAGAAGCTTGTGTGAGAGAAGCCATTGGTGTCGACAGAAGAGAGATCTGATATTGAAAGAAGAACAAATGAGAAGGAGAGAGAGAGGCGGAGAGCACGAAGAGTGTGTACGTGAGAGAGAGAGAGAGTGTGGGGTTTGATTTGAGAAGAAGGGAGGGTCTTCAAACAGGTTTTATAAATGCTGGATTTTGTTGTTTCTTGGTGTTTGTTGGGATTTGTTGGGCTTTTTCGCTTTGTTTCTATCGAAATTGCGACTATTTGGGCCTCCCCCTTCTTATTTCTTTCTTGTTGTTTGCCTCCTTGATGGATCTGGGGTATTTATGGTAATTAATATCTTTTGCTGCAGCCACTGTGACAGTTGTCTTCGCTTCCCCTGATCAAATGCGTTACGTTTCATATACTGCCCAAAATAAAAACAATAGTAATTCATAGAGGCTTTGTAGTTTATGTAATTAAAAGTATTTATCTCATGAGATTTATTTTTTCTTTCTATTAATATCATTTGTAATTAAAATATAAAATAAAAATGCAGGATTTTAGAATTCGAATACAAAACCTTTCTTAGAAGAATATTTGCCCCAAACCGCTATATTAATAGGTCATTTGTAGTTTCTCACCCATTTTTTATAGATTATTTCAGTGACAATTTTTTTCTTTATGTCAAATTACTTAAAAGGCAATTAAATTTTTTATTTATTAAAAAAAATACATATGCAGCAGACAGCCATGTAAGCATAAATAGAAACCTTAGGGTAATGATTCATTGCAAATCTCATTAGAACTATTATTTTCTTTCATTTTGTTTTTGCTTCTCTGAAAGAATTTGATAGAAAATTATTTTTCATATTTTTTAGGAATATTTCTCATTATTTGGCAATGCTAGGAATGTAACCATGCAATTCCACTTTATTTCCTTTCCCATATTTGACTTGTATAGAAATGAAAAACAAATTTGATTTAGTTTTCCAATTATACCTACTCACACATGTGCCAATTGGTTTTCTTTTTTTATTTTATAATTAAAAAAGATGGTAGGTAGTTGTGTTTCATAAAAATAGGACCATTATCTTATTTTGTTTTTAATTTTTAATTTTTAGATATGAAAAGTGTGAATTTACCATATTGTCCTCATTTAATTAATAATTTCAATTCTTAATGTTTGCATTAACTAAGGGAATTTTGTTTGCTTTATATTATACCTATATTAGAATTATAAAATAAAAAAGAATTGTTGTTGGATAAAATTGTAATTCTAAATTGTTAATAGGGACAAATTGGTCATGAAAAAAAATGAATTTAATTATGACATTGATTTCCCGTAGCAAGTTTCATTTTTCCCCCTTTTCTTATGTGCCAAGAAACCATTTCCTATATTTAGACTTAGAGCAGGTCCACCCATGAAGGCTAAGGCAAGGGCTGGCACTATTCACATGAATAGTGGCAGCCTTGCCTTTTTTGGTTCCACCCCAAAAGGCTAGGGCAAGGGCAAATACTATTCACATGAGATATGAGGAGATGAATTTGTATAGAGTTTTTGGTGTGGGAAGTAAAGAATATGTCTCGGTATTTATTTAAAAAAATTCTAGAATTTTTAGTTTTTTTTTTCCTTTTTTTTCCTTTTTTTTTCAAAATTTTTTGGTTGCTGATATCATTATGACGTCAGCATTGCATCATCCTGCCCATGCAGCAGCTCGGGCTGAATTTGCCCGTGGGCTTGCTTGGGCTCGTGGGACCCAGCTCTTGCCAGGGCTGGCCTTGCGCGCTAGAGGCATTTTGGGCTAGCCTGGGGGGCCTTTAGCCCGGTTTGATAGCAAGGCTGGACTTGCTCTTACAAAAAATTCGAAATGAAATGATTCCCCTTTCACACGCCCCTTTTCTTACAAACCACATACACAACTTTTCTTGAAACACTAAGTGGGAACTGTACAAGAAACACCAAATTTTACTAAAAAGATAAATTTAGTTATAGAAAAACAATTTAAGGAATTTAAAGAACAATATATGAGATGGGTTGGTCAATCCAAATAATAGGGATCAATCATATGCCAATTTTTTTACAATTCAAACACCATCAGAAAGTCTACCAACTTGATTAAATGCCTTGAGCTTAGAAAACTCCACACGCTCCATATGTTTCCCAATTAAAGGGCAGCCGGTCCCTAAAATAGTTAGAAATAGGTTTTTTTTTTCTTTCTTTTGAGGTAATATTCTAAATTACTATAATTTACTACATAAGTAGGGGTCGAACTCAAATGCAAAGGCAGATACATTCCCATAAGAGCGTTTCCAGCCATAGCCCTCAACCCTGGCAGGACAAGGCTCGAGCCCAGGCAACAGCTTCCAGCGGGCCAAGCTTGTGCTGGCAAGTTGTGGGCCCCACGAGACAGAGCCAGCCCGTAGGCTAAACCAGCTTGACCTCTAGCTTGGGTTTGCTGACGTCAACGATGATGTCAACAACCAAAAAAAATCTTTAAAAAGTACTAAAATTTTATGATTTTTTTTTAAATAATAAATACTTAGTCATATTCTTCACTTCCCATACCAAAACTCTATACAAATTCCTCTCCTCATATCTCATGTGAATAGTGGTTGCCATGGCAATGAATGGAAACACCACAATCTTTTACAATGGCTACCACTATTCACGTAAATAGTAACAGCCCTTGCCTCACCCTTACCATTTACCATGGGCAAATGGGTGGAAGTGCTTTGACTAATTGACGTAACTCACATTTTACGTTGAGTAATTTTGTTGCATATTCACATCAGCCTCATGGTGAATGCAGCTTCATAGGTATATGTGTAATGTGCACATATATTGCTTGCTGACACACCTTCAATCTATGTGTTGTCTTGTTTGTCATGCTTGATTTTGAGTCTCTTTGTCAAACTGTGGGTTGCACAATTCAGTTAGGTAAACTAGAATGCTGTGTTAGCCTTGGCTTTGGTTGCTTCCTAGCTATAAATTCCAACCAAATATTTCCATTTGCGAACACTCATAATTAAATCAAAGCATGGTTAGGAAGGCCTAACTTGCCTACATTTGCCAGCTCTTTATTCCACTAGTTGACAAGGTATGGTGCTGAATTGGGCTGGCTTAAAAGCTCCAAGCTCTTGTGAGTTCTAAAACTTAAAGGCATAAAATTCTTTTGGTAAAGCTTTGTTGTGGATGATTTCTATATTCAGTTAAATGAAAAGATTACAACATTATAGATCTTTGCTTTCCATTTGCTATCTTCTGCATCATTTATTATTGCAAGAGATCCAGAAAATGATTTGCTTCTTCTTCTTTTTTCCCCCACTCATACCAACATCTCTCATGGCTCTTGATCTGGCTAGTTTGACGTTATAATTTTGATTACAAGATGGGACCAATTGAAAGGGGAATCCGAACTCGGAAGTAAAACCCTCATTGCCCTCACAAGCTTAAAATTCCCCTCCCACCCTCTCAATTATTTTCCTTGGGTTAATCGTTTTATTAGTCCCTGAACTTAAACCCGATTTGCATTTGAGTCCCTCAATTTCCAAAATCGTTCCCATTGTCCTTTAACTTCTCTTTCGTCAAGACAAATGGTTCTACCATCAATTTTGTTAACTTTTTCTGTTAAATGCAGGGGCAAAATGATATTTTTATATTAAAACCAAAAATTGAATAAAAAATCATATCTTTAAAATAACAATAAAATAAAATAAAATAAAAAACCAACAAAAAATAGAAAAATAGTTTGGGGGGAGTGAAAATCAGGATAGAGGGAGAGAAGTGAGAGTTTAATTTTAATTTTTTATTCATATTTTAATCAATTTATTACAAAAATACCATTTTGCCCTTGCATTTAACAGAAAAGTTAACAAAATTTACAGCAAGACCATTTATCCTAACGAAAGTGAAGTTGAAGGACCACGGGAACGATTTTGGAAATTGAGGAACTCAAATGCAAATCGGGTCTAAATTCAGGGACTAATAAAATGATTATCCCTATTTTCCTTAATATCCAAAACAATCATGTGTGATATAACATCACATACAACATAACATTGATAAAAATTTTCTTTTTGTACTCATTTTTGACTTCCTACCTTTCCCCTTAGGAAAAGGTAAAGGAAAAGGCGGATAAAAGCAGTTCTTAATTTTTTGGCTTCTCCTCCTTTTGGCCTTTTACTTTCGGTGAGGTAAAAAGAGAGACTGTACAAGTGCATGTGGCACAGTCGCAGTGGTAGCAATCCACGAACGGCCAGCTTGTCTAGTTTGGTGGGTTTGCTTTGAGCTTTTGGCCCTCTGTTGGGTTTCATTTTCTGTCACAAAAATCTATCTCCTCTGATACCATCTTGGGCATTTGGGTCTATTTGCTCTGTTGGGTGTTTGCTAAGAAAGAAAATGGAAGAGAAAGCGGGTACAACCGTTCACAATTGAGAGAGGGAGAGAGAGAGAGAGAGAGAAACACAGACCCACTGCAACCAACAACAACACAATCCCCAATTGCTTTCTTTGCTTTCACTTCTCTGCTTCGCCTTAACCTTCTTCATATAGTACTTCACATCACCAACACACCAACCTTTCTGCCATTCACAGACCCTCACAATCTCTCTCTCTCTCTCTCTCCTTTCTTGGCTCTTTTCTTCATCTGGGTTCTTCACATCTGCCTGCGTTTTCTCAAGGTTTGACAATGATGATGACCACAGAGCTTTTGGATGTTCAACCCCGCGAACTCAAATTCACATGTAACTTCTCACTCTTTTTGGTTTTATTAGTATTGTTTCATCAAAACCCAAGAACCAAGAATCCAAATCAAACTGACTTGTTTAATGTTTTTAATTGTCTCTTGATTTTCCTTCCCTCTTGTAGTTGAGTTGAAGAAGCAAAGTTTATGCTCGATTCAACTTGGCAATAAGTCTGATCACTATGTTGCTTTCAAGGTATTGCTTCAATTTTCACAACTTTTATTCTGTTTTTCTTAATTATTTATATAGCTTTTGTATGCTCTGTGTTTGTGTGCATGGAAACATATCCTTACTCACTTTTCATGAAAGTATGTCCCAATTGATGAAAATCGGGTTTGATTAGGACTTAAGAAGATTGGATTGGCACTTAATGCTTTGCAATTTGGCAAAATCTATGCGCAGGTTAAAACCACTTCTCCAAAGAAATACTGCGTGCGGCCTAACGCTGGCATCATAAAACCCAAGGCATCATGTGATTTCACAGGTCTTATGTTCTTCATTCTCTCTTCTTAGTTCTTACTTATCCATCCCCATCTTGGGTTCTTGAGTTTTTCTCCAATACACCTTTGCCGTCATGATTGCAGTACTCTTTCCCCTTACATACATGTATTATAGTGACCTCGTTAGTAAGATTAAAGTAATGATCAAGAGCTGTACTGAACGAGTACACTATAAAATTGAACATAAATTTCCATGTTACTAGAGAAGTGACCAGTAGCCCGCTGTGGTGCAGACCAAAAATCTAGTACCAAAACTAATGGACTTTTGACTCTTCACCTCTTTTGTCAATGCAGTTACTATGCAAGCTCAGCGTGTCGTGCCACCTGATTTGCAGTGCAAAGACAAGTTCCTTATCCTGAGCACAGTTATTCCATTTGGGACAACTGAAGAGGAAATTACATCTGACATGGTAAGAAAGTAAGAATTGTTGGTTCTCTTGGTCTAACTTTTTCATAAAAAAATGTTCATTTTAATTTCTCCTTTTCTTGGCAGTTCTCAAAAGATAGTGGCAAATACATTGAAGAGAAGAAACTAAGAGTGGTGCTCATCAGCCCACCCTCTTCCCCAGTATTTGTACCAATTAATGGAGAGTCAAAGCAAGATCCATGTTATGAAAATTCAGTGAAAAAGGATAGAGTTCTGAGTGGAGTTGAAAACATACCCCCGCCTCATGGGGTAAGAGCAATACTGTTATCTGTTTAAACTGATTCTTAACTGACCTCCTAACTTTTTTTTTATGTTTCCTTTTTCTTGAATTTCTTGCTCTGTGTGTATGTATCCAAATATCATTTTTTTTCTTGACAATGCATGGGCGGGAGCACTCTAGGACATCTGCATTAGCATTTTGATGTGGTTGGCAGCATTGTTTGCCATCTGTACGTTAGTAGGGGACATAATTTTTTTTGGAGCCAATTATCTGGAAGCAGAAATATTGATCTGAACCCTGCTTTCCAGGAATGGCTATTTTATATTGCAATCAAGTCTGAAACTGTGTTTTCATAAAACAGTTGTTCACACATATTTTACTGACCCTTGCACCACGATCTGTTTTCCTTGTGCCAGGTTGCTGAGGATGTTGAGGGGTTTGAAACTTATAAGGACATGGATGAGTCAAGAGCAGTTAAGGATGTCGAGGAATTGAAACCAGCTAAGGATGTGGTGGAATTGAAACCAGCTAACGTTGTGGAGGAATTGAAACCAGCTAAGGATGGTGTTGCGTTGAATTTAACAAAGGATTTTGAGGAATTGAAATTGAAGCTAAATACAGTGGATTCAAAGCTAAAAGAGGTCAGTTTTTCTCATCTAGATCTTTCTTATAGCGTGGTAACCATGAAATCCTTCTTTTTAATATTAGGTGTCATAATTCTCTTTGAAAGGATTTTTGGAGAAATATCTGAATTTAAGGAGCCTGACAGGGGAATAATATGGGTAGAGGTCTACTTTCTAAACATGTTGAAGTATGTTTGTTAAGTTTTTTTAGATACACATCTACTATTCGAGAAATGTTGTGAATACCAAACTTTTTTGTTCCTAAGATTCCCCCCTTTTCGATAGTCCATATCCCAATGAGGCAGACTAGGAGCTGCTTCCTATTTCTATTTACAATGTTAACATAACCCCTCAAAAATGTAAATAATAGTAATTTCAATGTCATATATTCTTTGCAGGCTGATCTTACCATCATGAAGCTAACAGAAGAGAGAAGCATGACCACTCGCGAGAAGAATATGCTTAAACATGAATTGGTGGGTAATTTATTCCACGAATCCATTTTTCTGTTATCTTCATTAGAGGATAGCCGCACAAGCTGTAAATGCAGTATATATTCTCTACCATAATTGCCTTCGAATCAGATAGTATGCAGGTTGAGAGAGAGAATTGGATGACTAAAGTGACAAGAATAGTATAGAATTAAAAACACCCTTATTTGAATAATCTAAATATCGATTGTAAAGGGTTGACTTTTGAGCTTTATTTCTTTTTAAGAGTTTTGAACTTTTGAGCTACAAGGAATATTAACTGGTGGAGGGGTGAAATGCTAGTTTCTCTGTTTGACGTTTTATTTTCTTAAAATAATTGGTTTCTCTCTCTTGGACCAATCCAATTTCTATCTCATCAATTGATTGTTTTGCTTCAGTCTTCTTTTCCCATGATTTGAGCCTTGCTGCTCTTTCCAATTACTTTAATAGTATGCTGTGTTTATGTTGTATATATGAGCCGTAGTCTAGAGATTTGATTGTCTGCCTTTTCTCTTTGTAGGAGTTGCTGAGGAGGAAGAACAATGTCAAAAGGATTATGGTTGGCTTCCCTCTCTTTTATGTTTGTATGGTTGCTCTCATCAGTCTAGCAATCGGATACTATATCCATCCGTAGAGAAAAAAATTATGGCCCAGATATTAGACAGTAAAACAAAGCTGTGTCTCCTTCGTGGCTAATTTGGAAGGATCTATCTGCTTGCATGTTTCTGACACCAGAGATGTTCTTCAGTCTGATGTGTAAAATATGGACCCATCTGAATTCTGCATGTACGAGCTGATCTCTCAAATAAAGTTTTATAAAGGAATGTCATTTTGTTGATGCCAGGTTTATTTTGAAGCCAATGTTCCATAAATTTCAGTTATCGATGTTGATTTTAGCCTTTTTCAACAACAAAAAAATTGTTGAATGTAGCAAATCTAGTGACTTTTTTCAAGTTCAGAGTAAGGTTCAAATCATAATTTATGTCCGTGATTTAATCATAGAACTGAAATACGTAAACATGTTATTAGGCGTAAAACTAACTTCTGAAACGACTTGTATCAATCTGAAAATGACTGCCCATTTACATAAACGACAATAATCTCTTATTATGTATTTTGACAAGAGCGATATTCTCAACTATTCTAATATACATTCATTCTAATATACATTCTAATATACGGGAAGGGAATTCAGATGCAAGGGAGCATGGTCACACTGTTCTAACATACGGGAAGGGGATTCAGATGCAAGGGAGCATGGTCACACTGCCTTGGCCTAACCAACCACATTTGCTGACAATAATTTCTTTTATAAATTATGCAAATTAGAATCGATGAGCCAGAAGCACTTTCATATATTTCAGTAAGAAATGGGTCTGTTTTGGATCGGGTTTTGTCAAAAACATGCAACCATAAAAGCTAATAACATTGAAATTTTGGAAATCAAAATTCTGAAGGATCATTACAAAATCATCCATATACAACACCAATCACGCAAAACTTACAAGGGTACGAACCGTCAAGAAATTAATCTAGTCAGCAACCTATGAAGACACGAAAATTTTGCACCACCACACGGAACAAGCTGCTCATCTTGTGTAAAATGCTGTCACCACACTCCAAATTCTGATATGTATAAACAAATGCACACTGAAGCCGATCTCAATCCAAACCTATAAATTACATAAATTGGAGCTTATATGAGTATCAGTTACTTCTCAATGCCATTGATGATCATTTTGTTCGACAGGTGAGCCTGGAACATAAGGTACAAAACCCCGCCCACCAAACACAGGCCGCATGAAGGCATTATCAAATTTTCGCCAATAATGGTGGACAGTATGAGTAGGACTGCTTAGGAGCATTCGTAAACTAGTTGGACGGGGTATGTTCACAGGCCCATGATTTGCCTCTGAATCTTGCACCCCAAGGCTCACCTCTGAATCTTGCCCATTGCTGAGCAGTGGCACAGTGATTGATTTAGGACTAGATGGTTCAGAAGACATCATACTGCTGATGTGTTTTGAGGAAGGAAGCAAAATCCTCACTAGTGGTTTAGTCATCAAACCAAATACCTGCATACACAAAAGGATAGAATATAGCCAAACCAGTCATTTGTGGTTGATATATGAAATGTGTTCCAAATGAGCTCTAGTTTTTGAGCCACTGGTTTCTTACCACTGTGCTGAAAAGAACAACTGTGATAGTACTGGTGATCATGATCGCATTTGCACGCAAGTCAGTATGGCCAGACCTAGTAAACTGCATACTCATAACAAATTAGGAACTCATTATATAATTTCTTTTTCTTTTCAAACCTAGTTCACAACAAAATATCAATGCTAGTGTTACAGAACACTTTGCCGAGCTTAAAATTGCTCAACATCATTGTAACAGCAGTATAGAGCAAAGACAGTTCAAAGCCGGTACCATAAGAACACAACAAGGATTTACTCTGGCTTTTATGCATATATGAAAGTTCCAAAGACTAGAACATATCAGTCTCATAGGTTACAGAAAGGACAATGTTCAATGTTTACCTGATTATAAGCAAGTGCCATAGAAACAGAGCCACGCATAAGCCCAGCCCACCAAATTGTAACCTGAAAACCAGACAACCCATTGAGACGTGTAATATATCATTTGATTCAAAGAATCTATAACAAAAGAGACAACTGGAAAGAAAAAAAGATAAACTCTTACTTGTTGCTTCAAACTGATTTTATCAGATGGAGATTTCTTAGTCAAGTTGGTTAAGAAAGATAAGGGGAAAACAAAGGCTGCTCTTCCAACCAGAACCAGCGCCAACAGTATTGAACTCACCGCTATAGATTTTCCAGGGCTGAATAAAGAAGCAAAACAAAAATCAACTTAATAATCAAGAACAAGTAAACACTGTCTGACACACATGTACAAGAAGGAAGGAATCTAAAGGAGGCCAATCTCCATTTTATGCATTAAGCATACCTATCGCTCACAAATCTCCATTTCTCAATGTCCAAGGCATCCATGCCGACATAAAGAAAGATAAAAATCTCAGCAACAAATGACAGAGTGGCAAAAGTATGCCTGCATTAGTTGGTAAAGAGAATTGAAACATCAGTAACATGACAGCTATTCCAGCAATGATTTCCAGAGGTATAGACAAATTCAATAAGACTGACTTTCAATTGTCCAGGAAAATGTTTTATGGAGATTCAACATACTTAGTTGTCACTCTGGAACTTTCAGTCACATTATGCCATGTGTAGTGAGACATAACAATTCCGCAAAAGAACACAGTGAGAATGGCACTTAAATAAAACAGCTGCAAGATAAATCAAAATTTTAACTTATGGTCAGATCTCCCTCTGGACAAGAAACAAGAACAAAAGAGAGATGATGTACAAGTTTCCAGAAATCTTACTTCAGATAGAATGTATGAAAGGTAAGCCATGAGTATCATAAGAGCAACTTCACGATCAGTTGAGTGTCTGATTTTTGTAAATTGCAAAAACAAGCATAAGAGCACTACTCAAAATCACATTGAAAATTACCTCTCTCTCTCTCTCTCTCTCTTTATCTTTACTTAATATTTGGCAATTTCTGTTGTTGTGGTTTGTGTGGGTTTCTCACAACATTACATAATTAGAAACCCAACAAAAAAAAATCATGTGCAGGGGAAAAGGAACAGTTCTCTTGCAGGCAGGTAATACTTTTAAGTTTTATCCAATATTCATGCGCTCCCATTCTTTTAAGATTCCAACCAGAAGCATACAAGTACGGCATTTTATTTTTATTTTTTAATAAAAAAGTAATTTAATGTGTCTTTGCATGGGTATCTTATAGCCATTTATGTAGTGGTACAATAGGTGATTTGATGGAAAATCAGCAATTCATTAATTTTGCTCCTACTGATTGAAAATTAATTGGTTACTTTCTTATTGCCTTCACTCAATCATATTCATGGTATCACAAGATACTATTTCTTACAAACCTGCCAAAATAGAGCTTCTTAATGACATATGCACTAAGTAGTCCAGCCTGCAAGAAAAAAATAAAGGATGGGTCATATCATAACAAGGAGGCACAAATGTGTCTGCATTTTCTTCTTCTTTTTGTTTTTATTTTTGGGGAGGGGGTGGAGAGAGAGAGAGAGAGGGACTCACTACAACTCCCAGAATTGTACTTGCAGCAAATAAATATAAGAAGTTTCCTATAAATTGCAAAGCAGTGCTTGTATTGATGTGAGAGAGGTCAAAGCTCTGGATTGCATTGAAAAGCACCACTGATGTGGCATCATTAACCACCCCTTCCCCAAAAACCAGGCTGTATAACAAAGGTGTCTCATCCTGATTAAGCACCTGCATTGAGAGTTTGGATTTAATTCAGGTGTTGTTCTTAAAGCTGCAACAAGAGCACAGCTTCAGAAGAGTCAAGACAATGCATACCTGCAAGGTGCAAACAGAATCGGTTGCAGAAAATATCGCACCAAGGGCTGCAACCAAGGAACTGACACAATTAAAGAGGAAGTAATGGAATAAAAACAAAACAAAAATCATTTGATATCATAAAGAAAAATTGGGTATACCAAGATAATCTCCAATCTTGAGGGAACCAATATTGAACTTGTGGAAAAAGTGCATAGCACCTGGATCAAAATAAAAAAGAATTCATTAACATGGAAAGCCCCGTGATTAAAATTCTCCACTGGTCAATCGAAGTCAAAGAGTATCAACAACAGAATATATGACAAACAGAAACAAACTGACCCAAAATAACTCTTATTGCAAAAGAAGCTAAAGTAAATGTAAAATTGTACATCTTCACCTTTAGAACATTGGAAACACAAGGAAACTCATTTCTTTTTAAGCTATAGCATCTAAGAATATAAATCACACTATGTAAACCTCTTCATACACCCACACAAATAGCTGTTTGATAAAGATGTCTGCTAATGGAGTCACATGCATTGTTGCACACACAGTTAGTGTTTCCAAATAGATGTGGTGCGGAAAAAACAAGCACTAGACATCCACTTACCTGTTTTAAGTAACCAAAGTTATGAATTTTAATAACTTCGTTCTGTAAAAAAATAGATGATTGATTCAGATTATTTTCCTCTTTCCAGATTTTCAGTTGAATCATAAAATGTCTTGAGTCACTTTATGACCCTCACAAAAGAATAAATTTGCACATGCAGCAAGTTTTGTGTATTTCTGGTGAATTTAATAGATTCTGTCAAATCAGTTATCATTCAAGTGTTTGGCAAAGAAAAAAAAACTAAAAATGAAGTTCCCAATGATTCTGAATGATTGGAACACTTAACAAAAAAGAGAATCTGATAATTAGTGAACACTTGTACCATATCACGTTTACACTACAGTTGCATCAATAGAGATTTCACCCAACTAAAAGTGCTGACACGTATAAGAACTTAGAAACTGGAAATACCGAAGCTTGTTCACAACCAAGTCAAACTTTAAATGATTTATTGTTTCCAACAATTTTTTTATATCCTAGCACACCTAAAGTGCCGCACATCTTTAAACCTTTACAGCACAAACCTAAGCTATAAAAGCTAAAATCCTCAGGTGGCAATTTACCTAAGGATATGATGGCAAAGGATATGAGAGTGCCAACAGCACCAAACGTCATGATAGTCATGAAGTTACGAAAAAACTGCTTCTTCTTTACCTGGAACCTGATGATGTTGGAAAGAAAAGATCAAATCATAATCTACTACCAACTTAGTAATAAACAGTAAGTAAAACTTTCGAAATAGCCTTTTTCTAATTCCATCAACTTACTCCTGTTAAAGGTTTAAATAGATCAATTCATTTTGCAGGAAGATCATTTTCTACTCCTGATTTGCATGATTGAATGATGACAAGTCATTGGTCGTTTTTCAAGAAAAAAAAAATAGAAATAGAACAAATTTATGATCACATGAAGAGACCCCTCATCTATTGGCTTATCTCCGACCGAATCAATCATATAAATCATACATCTTATGCTATTCACGCCAGCTCTTGTTATTGAACAGAAGTCCTGTCGTTTCATACCATTTATGTTACTTTAGAAGCTTTAATTAAACTGATTAGACAAACCCATAATTATAACAACTAAAAGTGAATGAATAATGAATCTGATGTAAACAGTCATTTAAAACTTAAAAGGTGCATCCATAAAACCCAATTGAACTTACCCGGCATTGAAAATGATAGGCGGAAGCAGATATATAAAGAAGAGATCTTCACTAAATACTAACAAATGGGAGCTTTTCCCTCCAGTGGTTAGCAATATAATAACTCCAGTGCACAGTCCCTGCCCACCAAAACAAAACTCACACAAAGTCATTCTCAATTGAATTCTCCATCAAACACACACACATGCATATACAGATACAGAAAATTAAGCTGGCTCACAATGGCAAGGGCGGTTATGGACTCATTCATCCATCGACTTTCCTCCAACAAATGACCAAGTAAAATACAAGCGCAAAGAAGAGCCACAAACAGGTTCATCGACACCACGGAGGTGTGGTCTGAGGTCATCAGCATTCCCACCGATCTCTCTGAAAGTGAGCTCACGTCGACCGTCATTGTACTTGGCACTGGAGCAAAACCCAAGTGCCAGTTAACTGTTCTAGTCAAAGCCTTTTGAGACGAATCTCAAGGCCTAGATTTTGAAGGGCCTTCGTTTTCTGGGGTTTGAAAAAAGTGAACATATTGTAAGAAAAATGAGATCTTTACTTTAATTTGATTCTTTTGGGCCACACAAACTAAGCAAAAGGGAAAAAGTACGTGAAATTAGATATTTGAATGGAAATATCTAGCTTTAATAGAAGAGAAGCCAAAACAGTTAAACACTGGTGACAATCCAAGTCAAGACTTTCCTTTCCTTTACATTTTCTCACCAGCCAAACAGAGACTGAATATTTTCAACTTGGAATTGTCTGGGTTAAATTAACAAAATTCAAATAAAGCTTGAAAATTAAGCATACAAACTCGGCTCTTGATTCACTCACCAGTAACCGCACAAGCTTGAGTTTTTGAAGCTGTTAAGTTTTGATTCTTGAACAAGAAAGGAAGTGATCCAATTTGGATCTGGTTTTTTAGGAAAAAAACAAAACTTCCAACCTAAAAAATTCCAAAAATTTCTCAGTTTCACGAGATTTTAGAGAGAGAAAGTGAGTTTAGAGTTTGGACAGAGAGAGAGACTAGGGAGAAGGAGCAGAGCAGGGGCTGAGAAGCGAGAGGACTCATGAGGAGGAAGAGAGACCGCCAAGTAAGGAAATATATATGGCTTCGTGTAGAGAGAAAGTTTGAACTTGGAAAGAAAGTGACCGTTGATCGAGCAACAATGATTACACGTGGACGGTGATGATGTTATTCTGTGTTTAGACGGTTTTGGTAATCAAACAGAAAATGTTTGTACTGTGACGTATCATTGTGTCGCCTTGAACTAAGGATCTCTTCTGTATTTATTTTATTATTATATTCTTATTCTCATTCGACCTGGAAGCTCTCTTTTTTGTTTTTTTTATGTTTTTGTTTTGCATGAGTAGATGTAGATCGGGCTTCGCTTTGACAATTTCCATGGTCATAGAAAAATATAAAATACTTATTTATTGATGCCAACTCAGATGTCGCATGATATTGCGTAAGCACAAGCGTAACGCATTGTGCATGTATCATGTTACACATTGCCGTGTGTTAAAGTATCATAAGTAGTATAAATCCGAGTTAACCTTAGAATGAGAAAATGAGTTAGAATTAAGACGGAAGACTTCATCCCTTTAGTATATTGTATAGGTATAGTATATCATGGATAGAATTCTAGCTTCATTCTTATAAGTAGATAAAATTATTTGAACTATATTACGAATTGGGATCCCGAACCTCTGCATTTAGCATATACGCATTTACACGCATTTAAAAAGATCTTAATCATTTAATTAATCTAATGAATTTGATCAATCCATGTCACCATGGGGTGCACCGTATCCTTTTAGTCTAATACCAGATATGTGTCTTTCCCCACAAATCTGACAATCTCCTCAATGAAGTATAGAGAGGCACGTCTCTAACTTCAAGTTGCAAAATTTTCACAAATCTAAAACTCAAATATGAATTGGCATACCAAAGGCATAACATACCAAATTTTCCTAAGAAAAAAAGAGACAAATTGAATTGGCTTAATGGGTATTTCCTTAATTCTTTCATCACTATCCACTTAAATTAGAAAATTTATTGAATTTTTGGGACAATTGAACAACTTAGATTTATGAGCTAACTCATTAATTATTTCTTCACTGCCAATGAAATTAGAAAATGCGTTGAATTTTGTGGACAGTTTCTTCATCCATCTTGGCTTTGGGTTGATTTTTTTTTTGGAATCAAATAGAATCTTCATTAGGTAAACTTCAACAGTACAATCAAAGACATCAACAAGATATCTAAAATACCAATCCCAAGAGGACAACAAACTAACATGCTAAAAGAAAAACTAATGCAGACAAAAGCCGCACCAAAACCACTAGCCCATATCACCACAATTAACCATAAGCCCAAACAAAGCCCACAAACCCAACATAACCAAAACCCTAAAACAATCCATGAGCCTAGGCGAACCCTATCACCACTACCTGAAGAAGCATCGTCGTGGCCACACCCACCACCGCATCCGTAATAGATCTAGGGAAAATATAATTTCCAGCGATCTACCTGCGTATAAGAGCGAACAAATAAACGAAAACAATAACTTTGTCAAAGAACAATTGGATGATTTACAGCAATCTCTGTCAAAGACGATATAGAATCAAATTTAGAGAACATGAGCGACATTAAGGGGCGGGTTTTGGGAGTAGAATTTGATTGAGAACATAGACTAAAATTGGTGATGAGGAACTTCAATCTAACCATGGCTCATAAGAAACCACTACAAGGGGCTTTTTATTCAAAATGCTCCAGTGGACTTATTCACAAACTTATAAAGAAAATACGAGAAGAGAAGAGGGGGAGGAGAGGCAGTGACGCTTCTTCCTCCTCCCTTTTCTTTGGAATTTTCCTTTAGGATTCACAGAAGGAGAGCGCGGCTAGAGTTTCTTCAAGAGATCTTTAGTCATTTAATTGAAAAGATACCTCAATCCGGCTTTGGGTTGATTATTGGTCCTTCATGTTTATCATATTTCTTCTAAATCTTCTTTTTATATACAAAAATTCGATTTAATAAACATACTCCAGTGAACAATGAAGGACCAACATGCAGTGGCGGATCCAGGAAGTTTTGAAGGAAGGGGCAATAACATTTTGATAGGACGGAATTAAAAAAAATTAAAGAACATATTAAAATGATTATTATAATGAAATATATATATATATTATGTACAATAGCTATAATCAAGTAATTGAAGCAAAATAATCAATCTTAAAACTATTTTTATCTAGATTGACTTGCTAAAGAAATAAGAATAAGGTAGGGGAGGTTTGTAGAATTATACATACATAAATGCTGCAGTGATAACGATTTGGTTTTAACATATTGGTCAAGACTCAACATTTCACTTTTAACTAGTTGGGCTGTAAGTAAGGTTTTTATTCATTTATTGTTTATTTATTAATTATGCCAGAGTTTGGGCAGGAAAAGGAGTTTTATTTCCCCAAAACGGTAGAGTTTGACTTTTAAAAAACTTCAATGAAATGTGCGTTTCATTAAACAAAACTAAAGGACGACGTCATTTGTGAAAAAGAAAATTACGGTGCGTTTGGATGAGGGAAATAAACTTGGGATTTTAACAAAAGTCGGAATTTCTAAATTGACATAAACCAATTCCCGTGTTTGGATAAAAAAACATAGAAATTTAGAAATTCCGCGTGGGAAAAAACATGGAATTTAGAGATCATAAATCCCAACTTTAAATTCCATATAAAAGTCGTTATTTCTAAAATCCCAAGAGAGATTGAGTTTTAAAAAAGATAACTTTACAAATAATGGTTAAATTCCGTGTTTTAAATCCGTCACCCAAACAAGAAACTTTACAAATTCTAGAACATTAATTTCCGTCATTTTAAATTCCGTCATTTATGAAATCCTTTGTATTTTTAAATTTCCTCATCCAAACACACTGTTAGGGTATAGAGCTATCTTCCTCCTTCGTGAACCATCGCCTCAGCCTCCATTAGAGACACCTTTGCAACACATCGTGCACCTTGCATCGCCTTGAACCATGCTAGTATGTGTAACTGGTAGAGTTTGACTTTTAAAAAACTTCAATGAAATGTGCGTTTCATTAAACAAAACTAAAGGACGACGTCGTTTGTGAAAAAGAAAATTAGGGTATAGAGCTATCTTCCTCCTTCGTGAACCATCGCCTCAGCCTCCATTAGAGACACCTCTGCAACACATCGTGCACCTTGCATCGCCTTGAACCATGCTAGTATGTGTAACCTGCCAAACGATTGGCTCCTTGAGGCAATTTCCAGACCCCTTACATAACTCTTTAAAACCTTGGTGGCTAGCGCAGAGGGGCAAATCTAGCACCTCCATGGCTTTTTTCTGACGAGGAGAGGTGCATGTGCACCTCCTTGCGCCTCTGTAGGTCCGCCACTGCCAACATGCATGAGAGAAAGGAAGGAACACTTTAGATGGATAAGTGAAGACGATAAGGTACAATGGGTGATTGTTTAGTCTAACACAATGATTATGACATGGACGTATCAATTCCATTAGATTATTCAAATGGTTAAAATAGTTTTAAATGCGTGGACACTAAATATAAAGACTCGAAATCCTACGAATTGCATCGCTAATCAAATCTCCTAAATTTGTGGGATATAAAGATGAATTGTATGTAGGTTTTCTAAGTGTGGCAATAAATCCATACTAATTCTTGAATACCTACCAATTAAGATACTATTACCCTTTCTTTTTTCTCCTAATTAGCAGGGCCTATATATGGAAAAATAATTTTGAATAGGACCATTTTAGAATCTCAGCGTATGGATGGGCCAACCTTGCTCCCCACATAAGGCAGCAACCAAAGGCAAAGTGGTTCCCCGCGTTCAAAAGGCTCGGTGGATGGTTCGTACGGCCACCATCACCATAAATCATAATGCCCACACCAACCCTCAAATATTTCTGATATATATATATATATATATATTTTTTTTCATTTTTATTATTTTGTAAAATTCAAATATATATTTCTGACCTGTGAATAAAGTGAGCAAATAACATTTTATATTTGAAGGGTACGGTACGGATGATGGGGGGTTTGTTGTAGTTGAAATGAGGACCGTTCGTCGTGGTGGTGCTGCATGATGATGTCCATTCTGACTGCAAAGCTATGATGACTGCTCAGCTTCATGCCGACATCTTTAAAGGTCAATATTAGATACAGTGGCTTTGAGTGGCGTAAGGAGAGAATCATTCTTATGGGATCCAACCGCATGGTCCACATCATCACCAATCTATTGCCACGTGGCTACTCACGTAATTTGATGAGTTGATGAGATACTGGTACATGAAGAATTATAGTTACTGGATGTCGGTAACGAGTTTATCTACTCTATAATATGCTTAGATGCGAGGTCTAAAATATCGATAGATCTCTCTTTATTTACATTGTAAACCCTAAACTAAATTAGGGGTACTTCTTTATTTACATTGTAAACTTAAGTAAATGGAGTAATATAAAAATAAATGAAAATAAAAGAACAAAGACATTTACTTAAATGTTGAAAATGGAAATAAGGTAATCTGTACACCAGTTCAGCAAAGGGGCAATTTGAAGCACCTATAATGATTTTTCCGGCAAGGAGAGGTGCAGTTGCACCTCTTTGCGCCTTAATAGGTCCGCCTATGGATGCGAGGTCTAAAATATTGATGGCTTTAGAAATATCAGTAGTCCAAAAATATGGAAATTTTAATAGAAATATCGGGATATTATCAATATTGATACAAATTGAATTAAAATCACGGAAATTACACTGAAACCTCAGGGGATGTTCATGTAATTTTTTAGACCTGAGGGGATTTTGTGAAAACACAAGAAATCTCAAGGGGTGTTAGTGTAAAATAACTCTTCAAATTTTTCATTGTCTTCATTATCTCGGTATTATCAATATTATAGCGATATTTTGGCCAAATATTGCTAAAGTGTGAGGGAACTTATCAACGTCGATATTATCGATATTTATACAATGTACGTTTCAAAATATCATTGATATGAAAAAAGGATAATATCCTCGATATTTCGTCGATATTTTCGATATTTTAGACTATGGGT